ACCATTGCTCTGGGGAACCCTTACTCACTAAATAGATCAAAATTAACTTCCTGCCCAAAATTCAGACCCACTGAAGTCCTTGAAGGATGGCACTTTTTTGTTTTTTATTTTTAATTGACCGTAATTGTGCATATTTATGGGGTACTTGTAGTATTTTGATACACATACACGACGTCTAATGGTCAAGTCAGGGTAATTGGCATACCCAGTTATCATTTTGAATGTGCTGTGAACATGCAAAATCCTCCCCTAGCTATTTTGAAATATACAATAAATTATTGTTAACTGTAGTCACCCTGCAGTCTATAGAAGACTAGAATTTACTCTTCCTGATCTGTGATTTTTGTACCCATTAACCAACATTTCTTCATCTCCCCCGCCTCCCTGCTCCCCTTCCCAGCCCCTGGTAACCCCTATTCTACTGTCTGCTTCTGTGAGATCAATTGTTTTGGCTGAGAACATGCCGTATTTATCTTTCTATGCTTATTTCACTTAACCTGATGTCCTCCAGGCTTATCCATGTTGCTGTAAAGGACAAGATTTCTTTCTTTTTATGGCTGAATAATATTCCATTCTGTATATATATCATATTTTCTTTATCCATTCATTCGTTAATGGACACTTAGGTTTGATTCCATAACTTGGCCATTGTGAATAGTGCTGCAGTAAACGTGGGAGTTCAGGTATCTCTTCGACATACTGATTTCCTTTCCTTTAGATACGGACCCAGTAGTGGGATTGCTGGGTCATACGGTATTTCTATTTCTGGTTGTTTGTGGAACCTCCATACTGTGTTCCATAATGGCTACACTAATTTACGTACCCACCAAAGGTGTGGAAGAATTCCCCTTTTTCTGTATCCTCCGCAGCATTTGTTATTTTTTGTCTTTTTGATAATAGCCAGTTTACCTGGGGTGAGACTATTGATATCTCATTGTGGTTTTGATTTACATTTTCCTGATTAGTAATGTTGATCATTTTTTCATATACCTGTTGGTCATTTGTATATCTTTTGAGACATGTCTTTTCAGATCTTTCACCTATTTTTAAAAAATTGGATTATTTGGGTTTTTTTTTTTGCGGTTGAGTCGTTTGAGTTGTTTTAGTTATTTTAAAGTATACCTTTAAATTGTTTTAACTGTAACCTTTTGTCCCCCACCCCAAATTGCTTGCAGAGTTAGCACAGCATCAGCATGAGCTGGTCACCTTCCCTGCCAACCCAGACATGTGGGGCCTGGGAAATGAAAGAACGACTTGGGACAGGGGGATTTGGAAATGTCATCCGATGGCACAATCAGGTAGGGGCTCCATGGAGCGCGCAGCCTGGGGAGAGGTGGGGTGGGAAGGCAGACTCCCTCCTCTCCACCTCCACCCAGCTGTGCTGAATGTGTGGCGGGGGTCACCTTTATCTTTGGTGGTCTTGGGAGAGAGTGAGCAGGAGGACTGGGAAGAGGCTTCAGGACTGCTAAGCTGACTCTCCAGGTTAGTCGTTTCCAAACTCTATTGAATATGCCCCTAAATAAATAGTAAAAACATGTGGTGGCCCACACCTGTAATCCCAGCACTCTGGGAGGCCACCATGGGAGGATCACTTGAGGTCAGGAGTTCAAGACCTGCCTGAGCAACACAGACCCCATTTCTACAAAAAATAGAAAAATTAGCCGGATGTAGTGGTGTGCGACTGTAGTCTCAGCTACTCAGGAGGCTGAGGCAGGAGGATCACTTGAGCCCAGGAGTTTGAGGCTGCAGTAAGCTATTCTCATGCCCCTGCCCTCATGTCTGGGCAACAAAGTGA